ATTAATAAACATTTGATTTAATACGATTACAGTTTATCCTTTTATGAAAGAGGAGAGGATAGAGGAGTTAGAGGAGAAAGTAAGGAAGTTGACGAAGAAGAAGGAAGAGGCTGATAAAAGGAAGGAGGAGAAGATATGGAGGAGCTTGAGAAGAAAGTAAGAAGATTGGAGAGAAAGGTAGAAAGAGTGAAGCAAAATGGAGGCAAAAGGAAGAGGGAGGATGACGAGGAGAGTGGGACTCAAAGGAAGAAATATGGTGGGCGGGATCAGGTGAAAAGAACGAGGATGAACTAAGAAAAAAGAATGTAATTTTAAGGTCGAGAAGAAAAAATGGGGAGGCAAGGAGTCGAATTGGGAGAAAATGAAGGAATTATTCGCGGAAGGGCTAAAGATAAGGGTGACGGTGAGAGAGGTGATTGTGGTGGGGCAGAGAGGAATATGGATGACCATATTGGTGAAGCTGGAAGACGAAGAGGAGAAGTGGCAGGTGTTGGTGGCGAGGAGGAAGGCAGGGAACAGCATAGGGGTGAAGATCCATGAGAACAAGTCTGTGGAAAGGAGAGATAGAGAGAGAGAGAGGAGAGAGAAGAGAAAATGGAAGGGAGGATACGCAGGAGTACAGGGAGATCAGAGGATGAGAAAATATCAAAAGATATAGAGGAGAAACTTCTCGTGGAGTCGGACGAGGATAAGGAAGGATGGAGGGAAGAGAGACTAAGCCAAATAAGAAGGAGATGAAATGGGAGGGACGGAGGATCAAGGGCGAGGCCGGTGCAGAAGCGGAGGAAAAAGAAGAAGAAAATGTCCACGGTGAGCTGGTTTTGTTTTATATGTCATTTTTGAATTGTCATTTTTGAATGTTTGAATGTTAGGTAAGAGGTTTGGGTACGTTCCTCATTAAAAAAAAACGCCTTGTAAATTCTACGGGGAAAGACAATAAATAGAATACAATAGTTGATCCTTTTATAATTATTTTAATTTACTTTATTTTATTATTTTTTTAGTACCTAGCACGTATTTATTTAATCGATTCTGGAAAATTACTTGTTGTAAAATTTCATTCCAAGATTCTAAACATATCCTAAATTAACATTAGTAACATTTTCGGTGCGTTCGCAATCATTTTGTTGACGTCAATAATTTCAGAAAAGTACGCGGAAATACAACCACGAAGAAATCGCCGGTCCTACCAGCGATGCAATATTTTGCCTTGATTTTTTTCTTGTAATCCACTAGATAGAAGGAAATCAAAAGGTGTCCACGTCAGAGAACTCTTCTTTCCATGAGGAGGACCGAGGAAGTTCTACTTATCGACGAACATCGGTAGCTTTCATTTCCCTAATCGGTAGCTAATACTTTACCTAATACCAATTTGCACGAGCGAGTATCGGGGTCGCAACCGTCACAAAGTTGAAAGAGTGGATTCATTTCCCCGACAACGTCCGGCTTGTCTATTCAAAACGGAATGCTATTAAAAAAAACTAAACGATACGATGGATGACCGTGGTTTGTATCCCGCACTAATCTGGCAAACACATTACGTACACTGTTTAATCCAAAGGTCCGAGGCATAGTTACAGCCCCCAGCCTGACATGCTAAAATATCGCCGATTAAACGGCACTTAAAATGTTCATATGACGGCTATGACCAACTAAAGATACGACTCGCTCGCCCACCTGTGCAAACAAAAATAAAAATAGCGAAATTTAATACAAAAAACGGGGAAAAAAGATCTACTAGAAACGGAAAACTTCTAAGTGCACTTCGTGCAGTAGTCGTACCCAAAGAAAGTAACAATTATCATTGTAAGAACTTGATTTATTCGAGGTAGTAAAAACGTTATATCACGTATTCTCGTGCAAAAGCCCATAAAAGTTAATAAGTGCATAAATTTTCAGCTGTTACACGATCACCTAAACGTCCTAAACAATTAACGCAACCTTCGGTGCTATGTGATCCTAATAAAATTTGTAACGATACATGCATGCGTAACTTCTGCCGTATGTGTGCAAATTAATACGTGCAAATACGATTACGAAAGAAAAACGCTGATAAGAATTATCGACTCTGTTGCGCAATTGCAGTGTTACTGCTGAACAAGACTCATCAATTAGTACCTTTCTGCTGTATTTGTCTTCGAAAATTTATGACTATAACAACATAAGAGGCTTTGCGAGTGTTGCTCTTGCGATTGCTAAGCCAGATAATTTATCTGACTTAGCAATTTATATTCGTAGCAATATAATTAATATCCAAACATTTGTTATATTAATAATATGATTTTAGTCTCATTTTATTCAACGCAAAAATTCCTTTATTTGCACACACGTGTACAAGATTTGGTACAATTGCTATATAAAAATTTATATTTGAGAAATATCTGGTAATAAGAATGTACTTATCTATGTATACAAAAATAATATATTATAAGAAAATATTATTAAGAAGAAATATTATTTTATATATATGCACAAATTAATAATTTTCAAAAATATATTTTAATGCAAAAAGTTTAATAAAAAGAACACGCAGATATATTATAGTCTCACTTGTTCATTTTGATTACTTAGAATGGAATATTGAACGGATAATAGGGGCTGGCACTTGCACTGAAAAAGAATAAAAAACATTAATATATCGCAACCTGATACAATTATTATATGCTATATATATGCTATTTAGTATAAAATATTGTTTGTATAAATGACAATTGTAAATTACTAACTTATTAAGTGCACAAATTCTTCCGTTGCAATCAAAAGTATCAATATAAGCAACGTCTTCAGGTGAAAGTTTAAAGTCAAATATGTCCATGTTTTGAGCGATTCGTGACTTGGTGACTGATTTGGGAATCACTATATGGCCACGATCCACCTGCAAATAGTTATATAATATTAAAATTTTGTATAAATATTATTAATATATCAAGCTATCAGTTTCATAAACGCTAAATTCTTAAATTTAATTAAAAAATTGAAATTATATATATTTAATACATCTAATTTATTGGAAAATATGCTTGGAGACATTAATATCTTAATAACATACTTGATAACGAATAACTATTTG